CAATGGGAAGAAGCACCAGTAAAATTAATCAGCATTGCCCAACAGGATTCAGTAGAGAAATACCCAAAAACTGCAGCCATAAATCTGAAAGAACTGGGAACAGATGCAGTGCTACCATCACCTGTYATACAAACCAAATACCTCCCTGCTATTTTAATTTCTGACAGACAGCACAATTCAGCCAACCCTCTACCCCTTTTCATGTTTTAACTCTGGGGGAAGGAAAAATAGAAGCAAATAGAATTGACCCAGATGAATTTAAATGCTCAAGTTAAGACTGCTAACTAGGATGAAAGGAATCTTTGCAAAGGTTTTCTTCTTTGAAGAAAACACTGATAACCAAGATTAGCTCCTGCAAAACACAGACTCATTTAAATTTTTTGTCTTAAAAGCAACGATGCTGTAGCTAAGCAACCTGGCTCTTCCTTAAACTGAAAGCTGGTTTTCACAGCACCTTGTTTATCACTGAGAACTCTGACAAACCTCCACCCTATTTTATGTAACAGTGTCTGGGGGAGTGCCAGATTAGATCTGGTTTACTGTCATAAGGGGACTTTTCCCATGAATGCAGATGATGCAAAGTTATTTTTAAAATATCATCTGAAATGTTCTTTGTTTCTACTTCCTGCTCTCCAAATACCCAGAGCTGTTGGAGAGAACAGATACACCTGTCTGCTTCTGAACCCAAGAAGTGCTGGCTGTTTTCTTTACCTGCACACTGAAATTAACCACTGTCCTTTCTGCCTCAGGTTTCCCCTTCAGCCCAGGATTTGACATAGCATTTAGTATTTGTTTTCTACCACTAAGGACGTTGTTTTACGGGAAAATATACCCTGACGTACGATCTCTGCTCTGGTTGGGTACTTGTCCTATCTTGAATGCAATCTGTAGYTTCAAGAATGACTATTATTTCTAAATTAGGAGCTAACTATARTTCATAAACCATTCACTCAGATTGAATCACCAAACAGCTTTCCTTTCAAATTCTACTAATTCTGACTGCACTTTTCCTAATGGATAGGACAGAAAATACATGCAAGTAACAAGTAAAMTCAGTGATCCTGAATATGACCCAGYGGKTTATSACTTCAGATGCTAATTTCTTGCCCTCCTTCCCCTCCCACAGACTGTGCACATTAATAGCCTTTTCCCAATCAGAYAAGGGCACTGAGAAGCATTTGCTTGAAAAACCTGGAAATCATTGGCTTTTTTCCCCGCAGTCTCCCCCAACTCAGTCCCCATTATAATTCTGTTTTTAATCAGCCCCSGCCTCCCCTTTTAGTTGCTTGTAACCTCACATACAGTACAATAAAATATGATGGTCCCAAATGTTTCGCTAAACTACAGAAAAATATTTTGGCTGTACTGCTCATTTGTTTCTCCTTCTCAACTGGTTTTGTGTTTGTGCAGAATAAACACACACACAGTAGGCCTGTGCATCCTTCTACAAACACAGAGATGCAGACACTGTACACAGACAGCAATGCAGCTTTCTTGTTTACTCTGCCTCCCTCATTTCCTCTGGATATTTTTGCACGCTGTCATATGTGGAACATTGTTGAAACCCAAAGGGATGTCAGCTGAGCCTGCCTCACACTGCAAGCTGTTGGCAGGCTCATTAAGGCCGGGGAACAGCGTGGAGCTGCTGCCATTGCTCACACACCAATCCTGGCAGGCAGGATTTGGCCCAGCCGATTTCTTCAGATGCTCCTCAGCCTTGACATTGTTGCTGGTGTCTCAACAAGGACTCTAAAGCTGTTACAGAAAGTGCCAGCAGTTGCTGTCAGCATGCACAGAGAAGAAATCCAATATAATAAAAGTCTTCAAGGGTTTCACACAGGGTAAAAGTGCAAGTTTTCTTACTCCCATAGTCAGCTTTGACTGTGCAGCGCACAGCACTGCCTGTACAATGAAATTAATTTGCCTTTGTTATTGGGTAACTACATTTTTTCTGTTTGTTAATTTCAGAATTGTCTGCATAATTTTATTATCTACCCATGTTAATTATTTCTACCTCTACAGATATTACCTGTCATATCTGTTGCAGCCCCAGAGAATCCAAATTTCTTGCCCACATAGCTTTTGGAGAAGCTGTTGCCAATTTGGGTGTCAAGGCAGAAGGCAGGAAGCAGAATGGAGCTCTCTGTCACAAAAATAATACCTGGCAATCAGCCTCCTTTTGGCTGATACAGTTTCTTTAAAAAAGGGAGAAAAAAGTCACAACTGAAAGAGACTTTAGCCATGGCAGCAATTTGGCTTTCCTGTGTTAAGTATCTCCTAACTTCTGCCTAACTAGGATGATCAGAGCCCAGGTACCCTGAGATTAAAGGAGGGCACTCTTGTTCTTCCAGTTCATCTAAACTGTTATGAAATCAGGGATTTATTTGTACCATCCACAAAAGAGAACAAATCAGGAAAAAATTTCCCTACACATTAGGAATTTRGATAGTTGAATTAAAAATGGGCAATCCAAAGTTCTCAATGCTTGTTTTTGCTTTGTATTCAAGCATACCAAACAGAAAGCAAAATATTTAAGAGCCACCAATCCTAAGGAAGAACACCTAAATMTAAAGGCAGATAGAAGCTTAAGGAAGATGAGAACGTCTCAGCATTTTGCCTATTTGAGACATAATATAGTGTGTGGTTGAAAGATTTCAAAATTTTTTTTTTCAAGCAAGGACCAGCACTACAGCTATTCCATCACAATACGGTTACTCTTGATGACCTTCCAAAGACGAATCCCAGTACCATAGTTAGCATCTTCTCCTAAGACTGCTGCACCAGACTATGTGAAGGCAATACAGTACTTTCAACAACAGTCTCTGTTTTCTGGTAGAACTTGGAACCCATCCACACTTTCCCTTTTTCCTGTCTAGCACATACAGACCACTGGCTTACCATACGTTTCCATAATGCACCTCCATCTCCCTCAATTCAACTGATTTTTATTTTGAAAATAAACATTTCAGAACAGCACAGAAAGCAGAAGAATTTGTCTGCCACATGTCTAGTAGATTTTAGCCACTATAAAATTAACTGAAATATAAAACAAAGCATTTTGATTGATCCATAACTTCGGGTTTTTTCTCCATTCATTAAGTCACTCTCTATGTTTTCACATCATTAGCAAAGAAAGGAGTTGTATTTCTGAAATACTGAGATTTGTACCTTTGGTTTAATGGTATTGGTAGCCTGGCCACATGGTATAGTCTAATACTGAAGTAAATACAAATCAGAAATTCACTATGGCTTCAAGTCACCTAACAAAACTAAAGCAAGGAGGAAGCAGAGCCAGGACAGCTGACCTGAACTGGCCAAGGGATATCCTACTCTACAGAATGCCATGCTCAGTATAGAAGCTGGGAGAGCTGGGCAGGAGAGGTCATTTGCTGCTGGGAGACAGGACAGGCATTGGTCAGCAGATGTACTGTCAGCCACTAATTGTGCACAGGTTTCATTTTCCATTTCTTCCCCCCATCACTTTTGTAGCAGCATATTCTATTATCATTAGTATTATTATATTTTACWTTTTGTTTTCCATTATTAAGCTCATTCACCAGTTTTATCTTTTTTCCATCTTATCTCAACCCACCAGTTTTATCTTTTTTTCCCCAATTCTCTTACCCATGGAAGTGGGGGCAGGGGAAATGAGTGAACAACTGCATGGTACTTAGTTGCCAACTGAGGCCAAACCACAAGAGACCTAGGACTGGGTTTTGTTTCCCTTTTGTTCTTGGTTGMAGAGATGCAGCTTACAATCCCACACCTCTGATGACATATTTTGCTCATAAGACAACAGGAAAAGAAGGAGAACTTGCCAAAGTACATAATCACATTTGGGATAATTAACACAGATTAAAAAACAAGGTTTACCAGACCACATGGGAAACAATATTTTCTTATAGRAAGAAACAGGAACTATTTAAAAAGTGTTCCCTTGATCTCAGAAGTCAAAAAGTGCTTGATGAAGAAAATCATATTTCCATTAGCAGAAATATTTAGTCTTAAATCAGTTTTTATCAAAGACTTCATTTCTCATTTCAAGTTTATTTAAAGAAAAAAAAATCAAAGTGAAAAATACACAAAAAGATGTTTACAAAAATTCTGAGTTCTTCTTGCTCAAAAATGTTAGCAGCTGAATTCATCAAAACCAACTGTTTTTCTAAATTTAGAAATCTTGGCTTTGATAAATTGGCATTTTACAGCAAATTAGGAAAACATCTCCCGACTTCTGGTAGATAAATGTCAACTTTCCTACATTTTAATTGTCCTTTCCAAAAGCACAGAAGTGCACAAGGTGCCTACTTTCACGGAACACAAATAGGTGCCTTTGAAATCACCTTGAAATTACAGAATTAAAAGAAAAATCAGAATGTATGTGGTTTTAAAGTGTCATTGAACACATATGACTGGCCAGAACGATCTATGATTTGCTGACAGACGCAGCCAGACACAGACCTTCAGAAGAAAGGGGAAGCAGGAAGGAGCTGAGCAAAAACATTTTAGTCAGCTCTGTCAAAATGTTGGCATTTCTACTAAGAAGGAATTACAGCATCCAATACTGCCTGTTATTCTCTATCACTCCAGAAAAAGACCATGTTTTTCTGAACGATTACCATTAGCATTTCAGCTACCTCTACTATATTTTGCAAAGCTGTCCAAGCAAAAGTGACACTGACATCAAAAACCTATTTAGATCTTTAGTGCAAAATAATTATTTGACTTGCAAAGTAGAACCTCATAAACCATTTCACTCGTAATCTTTTTTCCTGTAACTGTTATCTGTTCACAAATAACTTAGTTTGTTTTATTTAACACCAACAATTCCGAAATTTAGGCACTCCTGAAACTCATGCATTCCACAACACCTCGCACAGAAAGATTTCTTCAGCCCTACAAACCACATTTAATGTCTATAAAATAAATAACATTTATACTACAGAACACTGCCCAGTGGAAAGATCTGTCATTGAAGTGAGGTCCCTTAGGGGYAGACATACCTCAGAATTGTTGAGATGACACCTGTGTGTCCCTGAGAACCATCCCTCGCTGGAACACTGGTCAATGTCCACCTTCTGCAGATTGATGTCGACTTTGACAACACCTCTGAAAACAGAGAGAAACAGTCTTGAACATAACTACAGAAATAGGTTAAACTTCTTTATGATGCTGTAGCCTGAAAAGCAGAACTACATCTTTCTTCTAAATATGGAATTTGATAGAATGTCTAAAACCAGAGTTTTGTGCTCCCAGAGCCATGATCACAGAAACACATTCTTATTTTAGACTTTACTGAGATGYATTATGACAAGAGCTCAGTAAATCTAACACATTAAGAGTAGGGTGGCAGTTAAGAACAAGTTATATGTTCAAACAATGTAATGCCCTTCACATTTTACAGTGCAGCAAAGACCMAAAATAAATACAGTGAAAGACCTGCACCACTTTTTCTGAAGCCAGCAATCCTCCCAGCCAATTCTGAGTGCAAGGTACCAGGCACTGCACCTCACCCCATGTCCAGCAAAAGCCACATTCTCCCCTTTGCTCCAGGGAATCCTATTTCCCAAAATAACTGKCAGAAGCCTTTTTTTGTACTCTCCCCAGCCTCCAGAGACATTCAGGCCTCTTCTCCGCATCTCAACATCCTCCTCCAGCAGGCACCCAAACCCTCTCCCCAGCACACCTCTGCCAGGTGGTCTTGCAATAAAACCTGATACAGTATCAGAAAGCTGCACAAGCCAGCAATAGGATACTGATGACTGTGAAGCCAAAAACAAAAAGTTACCTACACATACAGGTCCCTGAAGGACTGTCTGAATTGTTTCAAGACCCGTACCAAGAAGTCTCTAGGATTCCGCATCAACAGTTTACCTCAAATTCTATTGAAAGAAAAGCTAACAAGCCAATTTCAAAGCTGACAATCTGTTTTATAAAAAACTAGAAAATCATCAGAGGAAAAAAGGTATAAGACTGTAGCTGCATATCTTAAAAAAAAAATTWAAAAAAAGCCTTCAAAGATTTCAGCCTTCGGAATGACACAGGACATAGAATGACACAAGACATTTACAGCACCATTTTGTGAGAACATGTCATTTATGGATGCTTTGCAGTGGCCCAGACTTGACAAAAATGTCAACATGCAACTTCCAGTTGCAAAATCATTACACAAACTCATTCATAGTGTATAAATGCTCTGTGCTGATTTCTTAAATCTAGAATTCCATTTCTTTCAAGTCAATCATTTCACTTGGGACAAATGTTTTCATTTCCACAGTCTGAACATCACAACTACAAACACCATCGTCCTTTCTCTTAGGCTGTGAACTAACAAGGGCATGGCTCAGCCTCTATCTCAGGAGCACCTCACCTCAAAGTGTGTTCCCTCTTCTAATTAATGCACATAACAAATTAATAACAGTAATAAAATAGCTACAGAGCCATCATATTTGAGAAGATACTTACAATTAGAACAGGCATAAGAGTGAGTTTTATCAAAACCAAGACAATACTGCTCCCACATACCTGATCCCAGCACARCAAGAGTACACAACTGCTAAATTTGGACATTCATCTCCAGACACACTATACAGAAACACAACCACATCACATAAGTGGCCAGAAGAATGCATTAGAAAATTACATAAAACAGACAGTAGAAAGTTGGACAGTACAGGAGCACTTCATCCCCCCCAGTCTCCTGCCTAGAATCTAAACAATCTGATGCTGGGCAGATTTAGAAATTACTTGAAATATTTAAGTGCTGGTTTTAGCAAGTTCAATTTAAAATAGCATGCACTGCACTTCTAGAATATTCTGATATATTTTTAGTTTAGAGCTTTGTGCCTTTGTACRCTTGTTTGGAACAGCAATTTCACCAGGGATGCTCAGACCATACTTCTGCCCCAGATAACTGTTTTTTCCATGTTCCAGGTGAGCAACAACCTCAAGAGGAAAAACTGCCCTACTGCACAGCCTATCTCTGTAAGATGTTGCTAACAGTGGATTACAAACCTAACCTGGCAAGAAGGTGCCTGACTCAGTAGGCAGTAGAGGTAACAGATTACTCATCTGGTCATGTGTAGATCCCACCAGGTAGGTTTCTAATATTTTCTGGACCTTTATGAGTCAATACAAACAGTAACATGTGGGCTGAGGACAGGACCTGTTCTGCAAGTGATTAATCTCCCCATGGCTGCAKAGAGGCACAAAGACAGCAGGACCAGGACCAACACTGCTCCTTGCTCTCCTCATTCATGTGATRCACCAGTCACATTGGCAAAGCTATCAAGGATTAACATCATCCTGACTACTCCAAAGAAATCAGTTTACACAGTAGGAAAAGCAGTGATGATTCAACTTTAACAGAAATACAACCCATTCTCCTGGGAGACCTCAAGCACCTTAGGAAAAAAGGTTTTACCTCCTTTGCACGGAAAGCTTTTCCCACATCTACATTTTTTTTTTTAACTTGTAGGAGAGGAAACTCACCTTTCCCTCCTCAAACAGTTCTGCAAAGAGAAGTACAGATTGCAAATAAAGGACAAATTAGTCATTGCTAGAAGAGAAGAAACACCTTTAAGAGCTTGCTGTGCGGTATCACAAGCCATCCTAGTAGGAGCAGTGCTAGCAAAGAAGGGATATAAATATTTTTGAAAGAAAACTTACCTAGAGGTTACTTGTGAGAAAGACAATACACACAAGCCAGAGAAATTAGGGTCAGTAAGGGCACTGAGAAAGCATTTGAGTATGGTCTYGTACCAGAAGTGGTGCAATTTGGAGATTTCATGGCATGATCTAGTGGGACAAGCATCAGAAAGCAGAAGAGCATCCTAACACTCAGAGCCACRTACTGGAAAGAAAGGAAAATATTTCTGGACTTCTCACATCAGAATTAACTAAGGAATTCACATCCTTTGAAAGCTCTTTAATACAATTATTTTGTTAAAAATAGATATGAAAATCAGATTCATACAGCAACTGTCATTGGAAGAAGCTTCATGTGATCATTCAGCACCATCTCAGCTCAAAGCAGACTCAGTTAAACTGGGGGGGTTTATACCTTCAATAAGGCAGACTTCACCATCTCTGGGAAACTTAATCTAGTGACTGACCAAACTCAGTGTCAAAAAAAAGTTTTCTGATGTTTAAATGAAATTTCTTGTATTTCACTTTGTGCCTCTTGGGCTTTCTAYCCTTTCATTGAATAAGGCTGAGCAAGGTCTGTCTCTCTCTCCTTTACAATTTTTCACTAGGTACTTACACATAAAATGCTCCTGGACCCTTTTCTTCTCAGGCTGAACAGCACCAGCTCACTCAGTCCTTCTTCTCTGTCAGAAGCTCCAACCTTTAACTCTCTTCTTGGCCCTTTGCTAGGTTTGTTTCAGTACATCCATGTCTCCCGAGCTCAGGAGTCCAGAAACGGACAGAGCACTCTTGATGAAGCCCCCCCCGCCAGGCTGGGTGAAGAGGAAGGATCACCCCTCTCAACCCACTGGCAGGACTGCCTCTCACAGACCAGKAGGCTGCTGGCTTTCCTTGCCACAAGCACACATTGGTGATTCACGTTAGACTGGTGCCCACCAGGAGCACATCAGTAGTGACTGACCACCAGATTGACACTGGTCATCTATACACAGAAGGCTGCTGAGCTGGTTGAACACTACTTCCCTCTCACAAATCTCTGCTGACCACTCCCAGACACATTCCTCTACTTCATGTGTTCCAGAAGGGAATGATTCCACAATGATTTCCTCCATCACCTTCCCAGGGATTCAGGTGAGGCTGATAAGCCTGTAGTTCTTGGAAGATATCCAATACCTTGGACTTTTCAGCAACCTTTGTCACAAAGGATTTCACTTTTCCACTCAGCAGAAAAGACCTTGAAGGTCATTGAGTCCCAACCATTAACCCAGCATGGCCAAAATCACCACTAAACCACGTCCCTAAGTGCCACCTCTAAACAACATTTGAATATCTGCAGGGATGGTTACTCAACCACCTCCCCGGCAGTCTGTTCTTTTGCTTGAAAACCCTTTCAGTCCCAGGTGACTTTTCCTAAAATCCACCGTAAAACTCCTCTGGCACAACTTGGAGACAWTTCCTCTTGTTCTACTGCTTGTCACTTGGGAGAAGAGACTAACCCCTACCTTGCCCCAGGTTCCTTTCAGGCAGCTGTAGAGAGTAATAAGGTCACCCCYGAGCCTCCTTTTCTCCAGGATAAACAGCCCCAGCTCCCTCAGCTGCTGCTCACTGGACTTGTGCTCCAGACCCTTCCCCAGCTYCACTGCCCTTCACTGAACTTTCTCAAACCCTTTTATGTCTTTCCCACAGTGAGGGGCTCAAAACTGAACACAGGATTTGAGATGTGATCTCACCAGTGATGAGTGCAGGGGAATGATTACTTTCCTGATCCTTCTAGACACACTGTTGCTGATAAAAGTTATTCATGGTCACAGTCATGCTCAGACAGTGTCTCCATATTCCTTCCAGGTTACCTGGCCCCACTCCCAACTGCACTAGCAATTTATGCTCATGTTTTGTCACAATCTCCCTGTAAAGCCATGCAAGCTTGACAATATTTTCATAATACTTCTTCCAGAAACACTATCAAATTCTCCCATTTCAAATGAAATGCATGTTCCTTTTGCTTCTCTTGCAMTAAAACTTCTCTCACAAGAATGTCTTCATGAAGTCAATGCAAACTTTTCTACATACACTCTTCTCCCATCTGCAGCTCTTCTACTGCACAACCTGAACTTCTAATAGGGTTAAGCTGTTCTGGTTTTCCCTTTTCTCAGAGCTTAGTGAGCTTCTGGGGTGAAAATCTACAGGAAGAAGAACCAGGACACTGCAGGAACAGGAAAACAATCTCTCCTAACAATTACAATCTGCCATAGGATTTCAATCATTTCCCCTCATGGTGCATATACTTCCTTTTTTTACTAGATCTCTGCACAACATATTTCATAGTAACATCCCAGTTCTGAAGTAGTACCAGGGTCTGAAACTAATTGAGGATACAGTGCTTTCAAAAGCAAAGTTTCCTTAAGCGTATATGTGGCATTTACAGAAAGTATCATGATGGTACAAGATTTCYACTGCGTTCA